GGCTGAGACAGTAGGTAGCCCCTCAAACATATGAACCACTTTAAAGAGTCTGGGCTAAGTGAAGTGGGAATCAACTGAATGGTTTTATACAGGGGAAGATATCTGACTGATTTGTGTTTCATAAGGGGCACTCTGGCTGCTGCGTGAAGAATGCCTTTAAGGGAGATGAACTTAAGTCAACAAGACTGGCTAGGAAGTGGCTGGAATAATATAGGTGAGATCAAGAGATGGACCAGACTATAGTTTTAGCAATGGGAATGGAAAGAAGTGAGAGGAACTGAGACAAAAAGAGGTAAACCAGCAAGACTTAGGGTTGATTTGCTGTAAGGCTGAGTGAGAGGAAGAATAAAGGGTGATACTGAAGTTCAACTTGGGAAACTTAGTGGTTAATGGTGCTGTTATAAGGAAAAAGCAAGAACAGGTTTAAGAAGTTAAATGATTTCATTTGGAAATATGCTGAGTTTGAGATGCCTGGGAGGCATCTAAAATGAAGATATTTCATAAGCAGTCAGTGGTACAGATACAGAATTCAGTAGAGAAACTCGACTTACCAACATGCCTTCCCAAGTCATCAGCAAAACGGATGGTAATTGAAACGACTGGAAGGACATGGTCAGCCAGGGAAAATGAGATCAGAAGCCTGAGGAACAAAGGTCGTTAAGAGGAGGTGAAGGAAAATGAGCCCACGAGGTTGATTGAGAATTAACCTTAATGATGTTTAAAAAAAAAACATGAAAATGTGCTGATTTAGAAACTAAGAGCAGAGACTGAGAGGGAGGGAGTGGTCACCAATGCCATTTGCCACTGTGGAGGTCAGGCAAGAGAGGCAGAGAGACTGGCGCACTGAATGTAGTGACAAGGACTAGAGCATTTCCAGTAGAGCTTTGAGGATAAGCGACTGACTGTAACCCTCCCTTTTCTTTCATTTCTTGTAAATCAGATCACCTGGGCTGTGAGAATAATGTGAAAGAATGCATAGGTGGGGAGGGATAAATTAGGGGCTGGGGGTTAACAGACACACATTACTAAATATAAAATAGATAACCAACAAGGACCTACTGTATAGCACAGGGAATTATATTCAGTTTCTTGTAATAATATGTAATGGAAAAGAATCAGAAAAGAAAAAAAATATATGTATGCATATGTATAACTGAATCACTTTGCCGTACACCTGAAACTAATGATGGAAATCAACTACACTTCAATAAATTTTTTTAAAAGATTACAACAAAAGAACACATGGAACACAGAAGACCTCTGAGTCAAGTTGCATGAGCTGCAGGAGCATTCATTGCGATCCTTTATGAGCTGTTTGTGCTCATGGTGGGGTCCTCAACTTTGTTATTACTAAGTGTACGTAGGTTTGCTTAGTTTTAGGGTAATGACATACTATTTGAATAAGTTGCTGAAAGATTTTTCTAAAACGACAACGAAACAAACATGTGTTGATGCATAAGGATTCATTTTAATTATCCAGAACACCAGCAGCCGTCACATTTCAAGCAAGAAAAAAATGTGCGTATATAAACATGCTGTTTTCAGGGCCTTGTTTTTTAATTTCTTTGAAAACAAACAAAAATCTTCAGAGTTTGAATGTACAATTTTATCACCATTAAAAGATAGGAATCTATACTTTAGGGCAGTGTATGCGATTTGATGAATAATGAATACATTAGTATAGACAATTCTCCAAACTCAGGAATTTTTTTTAAGAAATGGAAGTAAGTAATTCTTTATTTTGATTTGGTTTGGTTTTTGAGGAACTCTCCTTTATTTTTTTTTCTCTTTTTCTCTTTTTTTTTCAAGCTTTGAGTTTGAGTGGGTATGTTCCTTAAGTCTAGTGTCATGAAGAAGACTAGAAAAATCAGGGCACAATAGAGAGGGAATCGATAGCATTACTGACTTAGACAACGAGCCCTAGTGCATATTTTTATGAGTATATTTTCACTTTTGAGTATCTTTAGAAAAATTTGGCAGCGTGTCCTCACCCTAATATAACCTGCTGTAGGGTGGATTTCCACATCGTGTAAATTCGCCTTGCACACCTCCCAAAGATGTTCAGTGTTTAGAATCAATAAGCTTTTGCTGATGAGGCAGAATAACATGCTGGAGTCAGACCTCTAAGTCTGAATCCTGGCTCTCCCCATATTCATTGTGTCTTAAGTTTTATAACCTCTCTGGCCTCTGTTTCTTCTGTGAAATAATAGACTCTCCCCCACAACGTTGTAATAACGATTAAATAAAGGATATAAACAGCTGGAGGGTTTATTTATAAGTCGGGAGTGATTCAGCATCCCTTACCACCGATCGCACTGTCCATACGTCTCTAACCTGAGAGTCCGCCCAGAGCAGAAGCAAACATTCAAACTCGCTTTTAGATCTAAGACACGGTCCCCTGTAGGAAGAGTGAGACTCTTCAGGCTGAACTGCTATAAATTTAGCACTTCTTTTTCTGCAAGTTCCCTCTAAATTGCCTCAGAGATTAAGGAATGCTTGATCTTCCCAATTATGTGTGCCACACAGTTCTCATCTTTCCAGTTTTGCTTTTTTCAGAAGCAGACCCGGAAAACAAGCAGTTATGTCCTGTTAGCACAATACAAGTAGGAGACAAAAGACCTTTTTGAAATAACAAGTAGATCGTCAAATGTGTGCATGCATGTGATTACAGGTGGATGAGGGAGAGCTGACCTGCCATGTGCCGCCTTCCAAGGATATTTGAATAGTTTGCATTTTGTTTTTGTGTACACATGCATACACACACTTCTATTTGTGACCGTTCAAGTACATTTCCACATCATATTGGCATATATGTACATACATATGCCCTCTATAATTCAGATTCTCAGTATAAATGTTTAGAAACTGACTTAGTCCAATCAGGCTGCTGTAACAAATACCACAGACTGGGGATCTTATAAACAACACTGCTTTCTCACAGCTGTGGGGGCTGGGCCTTCAGGCTCACAGTGCCAGCACGACTGAGGAGGATACTCTTCCTGCATCACAGCCAGAGCCTTCTGGCTGTGTCCTCACGTGGTGGAAGGGCTGAGGGAGCTCTCTGGAACCTCTTTTATAAAAGCCCTAATCTCTTTCATGATGGCTTCACCTCATGACTCAAGCACCTCCCAAAGGCCCCACTTCCTAATACAATCACTTTTGGAGTTAGGATTTCAACACAAGAATTTTTCAAGAGACACAGACATTTAGACTATAGCAGAAGCCATCAGTTCCATTTCCTGTATCAAAATTTAAAACAAAAAGCAACAGAGATAAAACAAAACAAAACAAAGCTGTACTTACTTGCTTGCCAAGTAGAGGAGCCCAGATCACTTAAAAAAGGACTTTAGTAGGGCTCCCTCAGCTGAAGGCAGAAGTGCTAACAATGAGAAATGGAGTTGTTCCACATTAGGAGATTATTCTAGGAGATGTTCTAGATTGTTAAATTCTAGTTGGTTAAGAAGATAAATGGATGAAGTTGTCAAACACACACACACACACACACACGTATATACCCACACACACACAAAATGGAATATTACTCAGCCACAAAAAAGAATGAAGTAATGCCATTTGCAGCAACATAGATGGACCTAGAGATTATCATACTAAGTGAAGTAAGTCAGATAGAGGAAGACAAATAACATATGATACCACTTACATGTGGAATCTAAAAAAATGATACAAATGAACTTATTTACAAACTGGCAAGAGACTTGCAGACATAGAAAACAAACTATGGTTACCAAAGGGGAAGGGGGAGTTAAATTAGATGTTTGGGATTAACATATCACGTTACTATTTATAAAATAGATAAACAGCAAGGACCTCATATATAGCACAGAGAAGTATATTCAGTATCTTGTAATTACCTATAATGGAAAAGAATCTGAAAAAGAACATATATATGTAAATGTATAACTGAATCACTTTGCTGTGATTCTGAAACTAACACAACATTGTAAATCAACTATATTTCAATAAAAATAAATTTTAAAAAAAGAAAGAAAAGCCACCAAAAAAAAAAATAGAAGCTTATAAAGGGATTGGTCATTGTTCTATTTTTAGGTCACTAAAGTGCAAACATAATTTTAAAGAGGTCAGGAAAAACATTATGCATATGCTGAGGACTTGGCAACATTTTTTTAATCTAACCTTCAGACAAAGTCCACAATGGTTAAGTACACAGGCTCTCACAGTTGGTGAAGTCCATTAGCCCAACCATCCTGTTAGGTGCGCACTATGAAGACACCTCTTCTATAGCTGAGGAAATGGCAGCTCAGAAGGGTAAACTCACTAATGCCACAAACATTCATTGAGAAACTACCCCTCGGACTTATTCTCCAAATGGGCCTCAAAATGAACTTGCCAGTCCTTGTCTATTCGCTTTCCCTGGAAGCAGAAAAATATATATGTTTTCTTGCTTATTTAGTAAATAGAGAATTCCTAAATGACCAGTAGGGGTTGGATGCAGAGTTCCTGCACACATCGTTTCTGGTCCCTAAAATCTGTGTTTATATCCCAGGTGAGCAGCACTGCTACTAACAGAACCAACCAGGTCACCTGGGTTCACATTCCAGGTTTTATCACTCTGTCTTGCTGCTTCTCCTGTCTTGCTGCCTTCTCTACATTGGAATACTTCTTACAATTACAGATAAAAGAACCCACAGAGTTTTCAAAGGTTAGAGATTGCCTTATTATAGCATCAGAAGTTTCAATAACAGGATTCGTGTCCAGAAACAAGTACATCTAGGATCTCTTATATAATTTGGTTTACAGAATTCAAGTTCATAGATTAATCTTTAGAGTCGTAGCTATACAGAATGGGATCTGGCTCTTCACAATCTGTCTAGTTACCTCACTTCTCAGACTTCTCATATTATAAAAAGCTACAGTCTTCTCTTTAAAAGCTCCAAATAAAATGAACAGAAGATAAAGCACACAGCACACTGACTGCCCTGTTGGTGTCTGTCTGTCTTTTCTCTGCATGCATGTTCCAGGTGGGAGAGTTCAGAGCCCATGCTGCTGAGTGGACAGCCAACGTCACGGCCGAGTTCAAGGAAACCAGGAGGCGGCTGAGCGTGGAGATTTATGACAAGTTCCAGCGCGCCACGTCCATTAAGCGGAAGCTCTCGGCAGAACTGGCTGGAAACCATAACCAGGAGCTGACTCCTTGTAGGAGGACCCTGTCAGTGAACCACCTCGCCAGCGAGAGGGATGTCTTGCCTCCCTTACTGAAAACGGAAAGTATCTATTTGAACGGATTGACGCCACACTGTCCAGGCGAGGAGATTGCTGTTATTGAGAACATTAAATAGCCCTCTCTTTGAAGAGCCGTAGGCATAGCCATAGGTGAGGACTTCTATATGCTCTTTATGACTGTTGCTAGTAGCATTTTTAAAATTGTGCATGAGCTCAAAAGGGGGAAAAATAGATACACCCATCATGGTCATCTACCATCAAGAGAATTTGGAATTCTGAGCCAGCACTATCTTTTTGATGATGCTTGTTGAACGGTCCACTTTCTTTGACGAGTGGAATAAAACAAGCCATGTCTGATGCCTTTTTGTGCCCAGACTGTTTTCCTCCCTTTTTTCCTAACGTGCCATAAGGCCTCAGAATGAATTATAATTGTTTCTGGTAATAATGTAGCTTTGAGGGATCAGTCCTTAACTTTTCAGGGTCTACCTAACTGAGCCTAGATACGGACCATTTGTGGATGACAACATTTCTTTTTGTAAATGGCAAGAAATTCTTATGCAGCCTTTTACCTAAGAAAATTTTTGTCAGTGCCTTATCATATGAAGAAACAGAACCTCTCTAGCTAATGTGTGGTTTCTCCTTCCCCGCCCCACCCCTAGGCTCAATTCCAGAGTCCTTTACCCCACAACTCCCGTTTGAGTACCATACCTTGCTGGAAACAGTGTGTAAAATGACTGAAGTGATGATGCCCGAAGAAGGAATAGATGCCAAGTTAGATGGACACTGACGCAACACTCAGAAACCCTAGCGTTAAAGGCACTGCAGAGAAATGAGGTGCAAGGATGGCCCCTCTGAGTATTTATTTGACTCCGGTACCAACGGTACATACATACAGTGTAATTACTACCAGGCCAGTAAAACTGGCTGCTCCCAAACAGTCCCCTTTTTCCTGGCAGTATTTGGAATTTAACATTTATTAATCACTATACATCTTTGAAAGGTGGAAGAAGAAAATCCATATACATATAAATGATTTGACAGAATAAAACTGTTAAAATCGATATTATTGAAGGTGAATTTTGACAATTGGTGTGAACTGCCATTCTGATGAAAGGAAGACAGTAAAACCATGTGTTACAAGCATTTGCTAATAAACGTTATACTGCCAGAACCTCTTTGCTTTTTGATGTAGAAAAGGCTTATATGATTTTCTTTCCTTGGGTGACTTTTGCCAGAGAAGGGGAGGAGATGTGCAGTCAGAGGTGGGCACAGTCCTAGCCTTCTGTGGGTATACCTCTGGAGTTGTGACTGAGTGTGAGAGCAGAAGTTGAAACTGGGATCGCTGTGATTTTGCACATGGAAAAATGCAGACTGCAGGCATAATTCATCTCTGACATTACAGAAAAAGCTGTTATAGCACAATTTAAACCTTGAGAGCTTTTTTTTTTTAAGATAGAAAAGGTTGATAATCCTTTTTAGTTTACTTTTATATCCTACAACTCTTTGGATGTTTTCGAGATTCAGAAGAAATTCAGTAAAGGCATCTAGTAGATTGCTCCTCTTTCTTTATTTTCATACATAGATCTGCTGTACATTGTAAATAAAATTTTTAAAATGCAGAAAGAAAATGGTTTCCCTACACAGAACTGCAAAATATTACTCTTACTCTGGTGGGTGGAGGGGGAGGTATCTGAATAAGTGGCATTCAGATTAGGGTCTCATTAAAAAATAAACCCCGGATCTTTAAAAAGTTAACTTAATAGATGCTTATTTTCCAAATTTTAAATTTAAGCTAGAAATGTAAATATTCAATTAACTTGTTGGAGGTACTTTTATAAACTTAAAAAATTCTAACCAAATTTTTAGAAAGTCAGGCTCTTTTAGAAGGAAAGCAACACCCAATTCCTCAGTAACTGTTCTGAAAGCTCGTATGGTGGAACGCACCATGTATAAACTGTGAAATTGCATTGGCAAATAAAGTTTGTAATTAAAGTCGGTATTTTCTGAGTCTCCTGCTTGCTGCTGAGGATTTAGATCTGATCCTGGCTGTGCAGAACTCCAAGATGTCACTTTTCATGCTGAGTTTCTGTGGCTCTTTCGTTCACAGTATTCAAGAAATATTTTTAATGCAGTATGACTACCCTTGTTATATGCGCGCGGGCGTTCTTCTTGGTGGATGTTAATCAGAAGTAAATATTCTGAAATTTCAATTTTGAAATATGATGTTTGAAATAGCATATAAATTCAAGATTGTTTCTATTAAATTATGTTATATCACTACCTTATTTTATCATTGTTAGACCTTGTCTTGACACTGAAGTAATCGAAATGCCAAACATGGGCACCTGAACGTTTTCTGTAAGAAAAAAACAGTCAAGCATTCTGGCAGTGTTGAAGCCTAAAGAAGGTCATTGCCAGCTAATCTCCTAGACCCCATACCCCAAGTATTTGGAGTACATGCCTTGTCAGTGTCTTCCATGAATTTACTGATTCATTCCCAAGCACCTTGACATTCAGTAAATATTCTAAAACTAGTCCCCAATGTTCTCCTTAAGATTGGGGAAAAAAATCTAAGAAAGCATGTGCACATTATATCAATTTTATTTTTTCAAGTTCCATTTTGTTTACTTCTTGTGGAAAAAACACTGATAAAGATTTTGACATAGTCTCTGAGTTTATTTTTTCAATGGACCAGTTTAAAGAGTAAGTAGTTTTGCCCTTAAGGACATGTAAAAAAAAAAAAGTACCAAACCCAGCAAGGATTAGGAACTCCCTCATCTGAAATCTTAGGCACGGATGCTAGGCAAGGCTGTCTATGTACCTTACAGCGAGTAAATGCAAAAGTGAATATTTTGGAGTTTTTAAATTTATCACATACATCTATATACTTTGCTACCATAACTCATGTCATGCATCCTTTTTTTCAATAATATTTCACTCTTGCAAAACAGGAAAAAGTGAAACTTCTAAAGCCAAGAGGGACTTGAATAATTTGTGTCTTGGCTTCAAAAAATGAATAAATAAATAAGAGCAGGGTGTAGGGCATGGTTTCCTTCTCAAATTCTAAGGAACAGGTGACATATAAGAAGGATTAAATGCCACCTCGCTTTGTGTAAAAAATCTGTATGTCTTTGATTCTGAAGGCTAGAAGTTCAAACAAAGAAATTTTATGTGGAATACCAGAAAAAAAAAAGGTAGACATTCTGAAGACTTGAGATATCTATTTATGCCCAAGAACTGGAGGCCTCGATCAACTTTTTTTTGTTTCCTTTTTAAGAAAAACCTGTTTGCTGTTCTAGTCAAATCATAACTTATTTGTGGTGTGTGTTCCTTATCATAGTGTGAGTATAAATTTGCTTTTGTATAAAGTAAAAGATGTCTCTATTTGAATACTCATAACGCCATTAAAATTAATATGTAACTTTTGCTTCAGCATGAGTTTACTTAAATGTCCCTTTCCTGAGAAACGGGTCTTCACGTGTTCATGTGTTGGTTCCAAGATGGCAAGGAGTAACACGGTTACTGGTGACGGGAACTTTTAAGAGTAACTTACTGTGGTTACCTTAGTGAGGGGAAAGCTTTGTAAACTCCACCTGCTTCCTTCATCCCACCCCACCTCAAAGGTTTCTACAGCTTTTGTCTGACACATCCCCCCCCCCCAGATGTCAGCTACCCCTTCCTAAAAGACAGGGGTTACTTCCAACGACCAGGACTTTTGACTCTGCTCTTTTGTTTGACTCAGCACCCCTTGTTCACTAAGCCTTGGCTTTCGTTATTTCTAATACTCACTAAACCATTTCTTTTTCTCCTTGGGTTAGCATTCTAGAATATGTTCACTGTGTTACATGTGTCTCAAGTCACAACTATTTTTTTCTTTTCAGCTGTCATTCTTTTACAAAGTATTTCTGTACATTCACCAAGAACTTCCTGTCCAGTCTTAATTCTTTTTCTTTTGCCCTCTCAGATTCGGCTGTCTCTCTGGGCTCCATCTTCATCTAGCTAACTCCCACTGGACAGCTCCACTTCTCAGGCACCTCAGCATACCTAAGACCCTCATTACCTCTCCCCAGACCTGACCCTCTTGAGCTGTCACCGGCTTCACCAAATGACATCACCATCCATTTGGTCGGCCAAGTCATCGCTGATGTCTTCTCTCCTTCCACCCCACACCCACCTATCACCAAACCATATTAACCTGTATCCTGAACATGTCTTGAATTTGTACACAGACATCACCTTAATCCGAGCCAGCACCATAGTCCCTCTTCTACTAACTGCTTTTGTTTCACTCTCTGCTCCAGTCATGGATGGAGAAGTGGTCTTTTTAATATGCAGATCTGATTGTGTTACCTGCCAGTTTAAAGCCACGAATTGGCCTTCATCCTTTTAAGATGAGGGCCAGAATCATTCAGATGGCCCTTCTTTTGGTCTACCTTTGCCGTCCTCTCCAGGCTCATGCTGGATCCCTCTCTGTCTCTCTGTTTCCCAGCCTCAGCAGACTTCTCCTTTTTCATTAAGTTCTGCTGCTGTTGTTCCCTTTGCCTGGAATGCACGCTCTCCTTGTCCTCCTCCACTTGTTTCATCTAACAAACTCCTACTCATTCTTCATAACCCAGCTCAAGTATCACTTCTCTGATAAGCCTTCTCTGACACCAATTCAGGTATCTTTATAATACACTCTATAAAACTCTGTTTATTTCCCTGTTTACAATCAGATATTCATCACACTATTCTTATTTGATTATTATGTCTTTCCCACTAGAATTGAATTCATTTGTTTTCACTTACTATAGTACTTTTATTTCCAAATACTAGCATAGTACATACAGCAAGTGCTCAAAAACTACATGATGAACAAATGAATGAAGATGAAAACAGGGATTTAACTGTTGTAACCATCTGAAGTATCCTTGTGCACAAGTATCCCAAATTTTCTCAGCTCTGCAAACATTTATCTGTCCTCTTCTACTAGCTTAATAGTAAATGGGATACAAATAGCAATTATTTCTCCTATTAACTGACAAGCTGGTACTAGTTACTCATTGTACACAAAAAATTCAAAAGCTTCTTCAACTAAAGAGACTTGCACTTTGTTATTATACACTCTTGCAACTTATAAACAAGGGTTTCATTATTTTCATTTTCAAATTTTGGCTCACAACAGATACTATCAAAGCTTTTCAGTGATAATTTACTCCTGAAAATTTGTTTAGAAATTAATTACAAAGCACATTTGCTAACACTAGTAAATGGGTGCCTTTTATTAGTAGAAAGCTCAATGCACATTTATTACCTTGGCCAAATGAAATTCAGCTTTTTCACGCTTAAACAAATTTATAATCAGTCTGGGAAGAAATCCATTATGGGGTACATTTTGAACTGTATCCAATTGAGAATATGAGTCACTTACATGGTATAATTTTGAAATCAACTCATAGAATAAACACTAGTTTTCATTCCACTTGATAGCTGACTTTTGTGGATGGTATCCATTTCCACACTATACAATTAAGAGAGAGCAGTAGACGATTTTCATCATATCACCTACTGTTTAAACACCATTTTAGACTTTAAAATATTATTGACATTAACCTGTACGTTTCTGGAGTTTAATTAAAAATTTTAAAGAAGTTTCCGTAAGTGGCAATGTCAGGTCCAGATTCAAGTTTTATCACTGCCCAAGCACTTTAGAGTTGGAAAGATAGAGCATCAGGGTGCTGTCAAGACATCTACCTAACCCATCTTGTTTCTCAGGCAAGTGCAACAATTAAGAGCTTACACACGCATTGAGAAGGTTTAATACTGTCACAGTCTAGGAACATACATTTTAGCCAACTGTGTGAATCTCTTCAGTGATGACTGCACATACACCAGCAAAGTAATTGCTGTGTTCGTGGTTTCTTGCCTTTTTATGCTCCTGGGAGCCTGAGGCAGGAGGAAAGGGAGAAGGGCCAGCAGTGGGAAGTCACAGAGTCAGAGTGGAGAAAAGTGCCTCAGCTGAGGCCCCAGTAAGGAGGCCTCTGAACAGAGCTGCCTGGGTCTGAGCGCTTGACTGCACCCTCTCCAGAAAATTACAGCGGACTGGCTGTGGGAAGGGCAGCTTCCCCGACGACACCTGCCAGACCAAACCGTGAAATTGCCTACGCCTGGGACTGAAAGATCACAACAGCACTCTGGCCAGGAGCCAGACCCCCCAGAAAGAAGTGTGATGCCTTTCAGAGAATTCCGCATTTGGCAGCAGGAAAGCCATTTCAAACTTGAAAATAGGGCATGATGTGAGAAGAGCTGTACCCTACAGAACAATCACTCTGGCAAAAGCGGGGAACAGACGCGGAGGGGAATGCAAGGCAAGGGGTCGGAGGACTCGTGGGGCGGTCCCTTAGGGTCTGAACCGCACCAGCGGGCAGGAGCACTGGGTGGACGCTGCTGCCTCCAGCTAGAATTAGGCTGGGGGAGCGGGGAGAAGGTTTGAGGGGGAGACGCAAGTTTTGAATTTAAGAAATCTGCTGGGTCACCAAAGTGAAACCCTCAGGGGGCAGTCAGAATACTCACATGAGCTCTGGTCAGGGACCTGGGGAAGAGAACTGAATGTGGGAATCGCTGACGTTAGAAGTCTGCACATTGAAAATGGGCCACTGAAGTCACCACAGTCAATATTGTTAAATAAAATTCCCCTTCTAAATATTAACCCAATTTTAAACGATGCCTAGGTGAGGTGTACTTCAGTGCAAGTCCAAAAACCTTCTCATCTGAGTTATGCAAGGTCTTAGAACATTTTCAACCTGAATGTTAAGCAGGCATTCCTTGTGGGCTGCGTCCCCAGTGATCACTTGAGTATATTTTCTTTGTGGTAAACAGTTTTCATCAGCAAAGCATATACATGTGTCTGTAGTTTTTTGTTTTTTGTTTTTTTAAGCTCTGCCTACACTACTTCGTTTGGTTCTGTTAATTTTCACACGTGTTCCCAGGCCATCCTCTCTTTTTGGAAAGGAGAAATACAACTAATTCATGCATTAAAATAGCAAAACACAAATGAAAACATACATGACAACTCTAGGGGACACTGCGGGTGTTACTGGGCCAGTGGCACCATCCCCGGCTGCTCTGAGTATTAGATGCTAACAGTTCCACAGCCACCCCCTTTTCTGGAAAGCAGTCTTATGTAGATCAGAAGCCACCTCACTAGGAAGCTACCCAGCTCCAGCCCCACCCTAATGTGGGCGACCCACAGCCAATGACTGACATGGGGATAACCAGACGCAGACATCTCTGCCTTAGGTGGCACTAAGTCTGTACTGTAACATACTCCAGAGCTCTCTGTGGGGCCAGGCTGAGGCTAGACTCCAGCTGAGACCACATCTTTGCTTAGCACCTTCCTCCATTTTCTCCCATTGTCCTCACTCCCTTTCTCCTGAGTGCCAGCCTCCAAATATCACACGCACCCAAATCTCTGTCCCTGGCTCTTTTTTGAAGACAACTGTACAAGTTATAAAGGGGAGTAGGTCAGATCCAGGCTGGGAAGGAACAAAACAATTAAAAAAACCCACAGAAGTGATAACTCTTAGGACTTGCTTGACTTCTGTTTTCTAGGCAGCCACATCGAAAAGTGAAAGATTTATCAGTAAACCAATGAATTTTGTTCTCCTTGTCCATGATGAGATAGAGTATCTACATCTTATGAAAACAAAGCCTTCCTAGGGGTTTCATATAGGTCACAGAGAGAGATACAAGAAGAACAACACAATATTCATATAAAACATTATAGTGGATTCTCTGACTGATCTCATATTGGTTCTAGATTTAAGGTAATGGAATAGCACCAATTTTAGTTTAGTGAAAGCATTTCTTCTGCATGGGTCAAAATAATATTCACGTGCACATCTTTCTGATATCTGCCTTGGTAATGTCTTGAATTTCTATAGCAGTGTTTTACAAACTTCAGTGTGCCTAAGAATAACCAGAAAGTTGGGTTAAAGGGCAACTTTCTGAGTCTTGTTGCTAGAGAAGCTTGTAAAGTAGGTCGAAAGTGAAGCCCCCCGAACTAGACTTCTATACATACCCCATCTGCCAGTAGTTCAGGATCCATACATTGAGAAACTCATGTTGAAGACTAGGTAGAAATGGCCTCCCAAATTTTTATTTCTATCACATGGCTTTTAGTAAAAGTTAGACAGCAGAAATTTCATGGTGTTGATCTCTGGTATTTGACCAAATTACTGGCATATGTCACTGTAAACTGAGTTTATCACTGGATTGATAAACTTTTTAGATTGATTATGTAGATGGTAAGTATGGAATTTCTTTGAGAACACTGAAGTCAGCCAAGTCTGACATGGCCCACATGGAAGCTGGCCTGGAGATAATCCTTTGTGGAGGTGTAGTCAGGGACAAGAAATGAATACATTTATAATTAACGTAGGAGTTTT